ATCCCAAAATCATTCATTGCGGAAATCATAGGTGTGTGCACTGCGATCAATCCGAGCCCTTCCTTATAATGACCAGCATTCGAGCCACCGCCTTAGACTAGGAGTCAATTCGGAACAGAGCGTTACATATAAACTACTTAGACTTGGGGAAGTGATGGAGTTCAGAACCACAATTTTGCCACCGTGGCAATTGAACACCGCTCCAAGATGCGGTCGGGTGCAGTTCAGGCTGTAGTGTGGCACCTTTTGGCCACCCGTTTTGATTGGTCCAAGCTTTTTGATCGTTTCATCGGTCTTTTTTTTATTTTATTTTTATTTTTTTTAAGTAACCCTATTTATACATATATATATTTTTTTTTACAAAAAACCCATTCAAATTTCTTAACATTTTACCATCTTTTTCTTAAATCCTCTCAACATGTCTTCTTCCAAAAGCCTACCAACGAAAAAACACTCACTAGAAACACCATAATGCTAAGAATTTCATATTATCAACTGATTTATTCGCCTCCATATTATCATTATGGCGGTATGCTTTTGCAGTATCCACAACAAATCTCACAATCACAACGACCACAACGACCACAACCACAACCACAACTCGACCTAGAAACACCATAATCCTAAGACTTTCACATTATCAACTGATTTATTTGTCTCCATATTATCATTATGGCGGTATGCTTTTGTATATCCACAACCCACCACAAACATAACCACAACTCGATCTAGATTTTAATCTGGTTGAATTTTTGTCTCAATGTGAGTTTGTTCAACAAACACAATAACAACCACGAACAATCATTTCTGATTCTGAACCGGAATTCGTTCTAGAAACTCAACCCACTCGAGCAACAACTAAAAGAAAAGAGAATGTGACCACTAAAGGATGTGAAACCCTAGAAGTGTTAGCGTTGGCACAATCATGGAGCGATATTTCAAAAGATGCGATGATTGGAACAAATAAAAAACATGGTTGTTTTTTGATTCGGGTTTTACATAGCTTCCACTATGGAATGAATCGTGGAGTCTATCGTTCAAAACATCAAGTGTATTCGAAATGGGGGAAGGTGAATAAGGAAGTCATGTTGTTTAATGATTTGTATACCACTATGAAATATCAATGGAGAAGCGAATAAGGCGATGATGTGATATTGCAGAAAGCGAAGAAAGTGTATCAAAAGAAAACGTGAAAGTTTTCAAGTTTCTTGAAGTTTGGAATCTTGTGAAAGATAATAAGAAATGACAAAACAACAAAACATTCGATGGACATATCGATAGTGGTTCAAAACGTAACAAAACATCCGAATCCGACCACACTACATCCGAAGTCCATTTCAATTCGACTTCAAAGAAGATGAACCCGTTCCAGTTTCACCACCTTCCCTACTAATGGAAAAAGACAAAACAAAAAATAAAGACAAAGACAAAACGTCGGATTCAGATGAGTTAAAAGAAAATATGGGATGATATGAATGATATAAACGATAGAATAAACAAGATTTTGCAATTTGTTTCCGAAAGAGGACTTCAGATGCAAAGAGATAGCGACTCAAAAAATGTTATGCTAATAAATATGTTTAAAATTTCTAGTGTGTATGTTATGCTAATAAATATGTTTACATAGCTTCCACTATGGAATAAATCTTTTGTTTTTTTTTTATAAATTAAATGTCATGTTATTTTTTTTAAGTAATTGAATGTATAGATTTTAATTTTTAATTAATGAAATGTTATGTTTTTTTTTGTTTAAAGTTTTTATTTAAATTAAATTGTTAAAAAAAAAATATTATACCACTCCTTAGATGTGGTAAAAAAACCACACTTTGATTATGTGCGGTCTATGTGACACTATTGTAAAATAAGAGAGCGTGACACTCTTCTTCCGCCTAAGAAATGTGAATGGTGCCTTTTTTAAAAAGTTGGCGATTTTTATGATTAATATTTTCTTTATATCGTGGATCTAGAAAACCGCATAACTTTGAAATTGTATTAATTCCTATATATTTAAACGAATTATTTTGTTAATTTTGCATTTATAGTATTATAATGTTAGGGAAAGTTTGTGAAAAAAAAAATGAAAATACGAATGGCATGAGTTAATGATCTATTTAATATTATTCTATTCTAGTTATATATTGATAGTTGGGAAATTACTTATTTACCCAAACGAGCTAAAATAAGCCTAGTAAGCCCAAAACTCTGTATAACTCCACCATGGCCCAACAGGCATCGGCGTGACGCCTGGACAATAAGCCCAAACTATGTCTCATTACACATAAATGGTACATGTGAAGTGTGAACTGTGAAGTGGCCTAGACGAAAATGATTACGCTCTACCTTAATATTTATCAAAGATTTTTTTCTAAATTTTCTTGGACTTGTTTAACTTTTTCATCTCGTCTTGTCTAAGGGTGGTATGACAGAAGAAAAGATCGGTTGTAAAGCTTTCTCGGTGATCTAAATGAACTTTTGACCGGATGGAGATATCAAAAGGAAGACTTTCTTGTATGACTAAATTCATACATAACTCGTGTGCTACTTGTGGATCATAATCTCGTATTTGACCATCGGTACATACTTATGTTTGAGTAGATAATACATAAATAATTTTGTAAGACAAATATGAGGCCGAAACTACTCCTTGAGAGCACTTAAAGACCATATGATACACACTACTCTTTGTTTAGACTAAACTTAAACAACTTTGAACTAGATCGGTCCGGTTTGAGTCCAAAGTTTGAGACCGATCTAAACTAGTTATAATGCTCATGCTTAATTTGTAGCCATTCACAATCAAGATTGGAAACACTTTTGCATTTAGTTTTATGCTAGATCTAACCAAAAAAAAAAATCACTTTATGTTTATAAAAGTAAATTATTCTTGGTAATATTATTGATGATGCATCAAATAAATTCAAAAAAATGAAGTTAAATATCCAAATGTTTGTTATGTTGCATTTTATGCATAGTTTTATCATGTTTTATGTGTTTGCTTTTCATTCCTCTATAAATAAAACCATACATATTCATACATTTCATGATATGGTATGTTCAGAACTGGGATCGTGGTTTTGATTTAAGGTTCAAACTAAATCATGTATTTATTCAAAAGATTATTTGGATAAAGTGGAACACGTACATCATATCATATTACTTGAGGGTTAAATTGAGAAGGTCCAAAGACGTGATAGTACAAGAATAAATTATGTGATGATAACATTCTCTATTGGTGTTTAGGATGACAAAGGTTGTGTTTGACGCGCCACCGTTAGCTTAATTTTTGAGCTTTTTTCTGTTGTTATGTTTGGTAAACTAAAAAATAGCTTACAAACTAGCTATTTAAAAGCTACTTAGGGCTTGTTTGGCACGGAGCTTTTGGAAGCGTTTAGGAGCTTCTAGCTTTTAGCTTTTGACAAAACGCTCTAGTTTAAACAAAAAGTTTCGTTTGGCAGTACGATTAACAAAACGCTCCGGAGCTTTTGAAATCAATTTTCATAATTACCCTTAAAAATATATTTATATATTTTTTTATTTTTAATCAGTTGTCCTTTTATGTAATTTTATATATTTCAAAAGCTTCCAGCTACTTTTGCCAAACATTCATATAACAAATAAAAGTTACAGTTTCCCGCTACTAGCTACCAACTACACGCTACCAGCTACCCGCTTTTAGCTAACAGCTACTTTTGCCAAACACGCCCTTAGACTAGTTTTTTAAGAATGTTTTTTTTTTTTTTTTTTTTTTTTTTTTTTTTTTTTTTAATTTCAAATATACCACTTAATTAGTTATAAAAACCTATTTTTTTTAAATGTTATTTCATATTTTTCAGTTAGCTTTTCACCTAGTTTACCAAACGTTATTTTTTATCAGCTAGTACGTCAAATATAGCCAAAGACTAAAAAATATGACATTATCGATGAAGACGGAAATTAAAATATCCAAAGCTAAGACAATGTTAATATCCATGACGAATCTATTCTTCTCAATAAATGAAGGTTTTTTGTCACTTGTCAATCTCTCATGAATTTTGACACTTGTGATTTTGTGGAAATTTTAAAATAAATATTATCCACTTGTCAAATTTTGGTTTGTTTTAATTTTTAATTAAAATCATATACTTATATACACAAAATATTAAATATCATATATATGCTATTAAATTCTAATAAATACGTTTTCTTTATTTCTTATTTTATAGTTGTACATTAAAAATATTTTATTTTTATACTTTAAGTTTAATCATTTTTTAAATCAGCTCGTATAATATACAAATCTCACACCTAGTATTACAATATATCAAAGACAAGGATCATAAAATCCAACACAAAAAGAAGTCAACAACATACCGAATACATTTATATCTACTCCTATTAAAAAAAAAAATTGGTATTTTTTATATTTTATAATTATACGAAATAAGAGCTTATTTATAGGAAGCAAACAAATGATTAAATATTTAATTTTTAGTGGACTTATTTACGAATGAAAATAATAAAATTGTTTAGGGGTGGACGAAATCAAAACCGGTTATGCTAGAACCGATCAACGATGCTAAGGTACCGATTAATTTGTTAATATATTTTAGGGTCAGTTAGTTAGAATCCAAACCGGTTACCATAACTCGGCCTAGTGTCCCTACTTCAGACCAAATGTGTTCTGTTTTATGCACTTTTATCAGTTTATGGGTATGCTGAAAAATCATACCAACAAATTATATAAGACAATCTAGCATTGACCTTTTATTTTATTAAATCGGGATTTCTTGGTGGCTTGGCTTTTTGTTTTAAAATTAAGACTAAAAGCGATCATGCCCATCTAACTCACACTTAATGCTGCTGTAATATATATACACAGACTAGATGTTTGCCTGTGCAAAATAACGACGATAAATAACTCTTTTGGCGAATACCGAATAGGTTTCTTATAGGGAAATAATTATTAAAATTTATTATTAATTATTATGTAATCAAAAATATCATTTTTAAATAAAATATTTATGTCTACACTTTATATTTATATTGCATATTAATACATTTAACGTAGATTAAGGCATATATCTTCAAGCTTTTGTGGATTTAAGCTTCAAAAAATCCATGTATGTGATTACAACCTTTATTGCTCTATCTAACTAAATAATCGGACTCCTTCCCCCTGTTAGATCCTAAAACAAAAAGTTAATTAAAACAAAGTTAAATTATTGAAATAAAGAACTAAGAGAAATATAACAAGAAAAAAAATCTAGTTTTTACTTACTCAATATATTCGACGTTAATTTTTCCCCTTTGAGTTTTGGAAATGGCAGAAAATGCATCATTTGACAAGACAATCGTTGAAGGACATGGTCTTTTGGAGCAAAAATCGACCACCTTAACATCAATTGTGCCACCTTTACACGGTTTATTATTTCCACTCAAACACTTCAATCTGTAACGCCTACCACATGCCGCCCCATTATCCCATAGTCCTTCACTCACTGATACAAATAAATTCCCCAATGGAAATTGATCTGCTTGGTTGCCATTGCATCTCGTAGCTACGTTATATATACAAAAAAAAAAAAAACCAATCATTCTTAATAAATTTTTATTTATTTCTTTGAAATATACAGTTAAAAACACAACAGAAAAATCACATTTGAAAACACCAAGATTTAACTTTCGACAATCGAGTAGCAACTTACGTGTATAAGGAGGACCATAGGATGACGCCGTGCCAATTTCACCCAAACAACACTTATTGTTACTGAAGGCTAATAATAATAAAAATAAGCTCACAATAACACCAATTTCCATCTCTCAAAAATACTATGGCAGTAAGATGCACCCCCGTTGGATTATATATTATATCAGAAGATAATGTCACGTGTTTTTGATGGAATTTTGTATTCAAGTAAATGAAAAATTTGTGATCGAAGTGGATAAACTATGTGATCATATTACCTTTGCATTTAAGTTGGTTTCTATAGGCTTGGTCAATCAACCTACCCACCACTAATTGGTATATGTGAAGATGACTTGTAATGTAAACATAAAAACAACTTTTAGTCTCCTCTTTTAAGTCAGCGACTCATCATTGACAATTGCACAAAAAATTAAAACATACATGATAATCCATATATCTTAAATTCTTAATTTATTTCCATATCAACAAATATGTAAAACTATCGAGATAAAACGATAGTGATTTGAGTTGATGTTTGTCAACTCCATTGTTGGGGTTCAAATGTATCAAACCAATTTGGACTATACGTCGGCTGACCAACACAGGCGCACCTAGTGGGCTTCCCACAATCACCACTAACTATGGCCCTAATAAATGAAGGTCGTATTTGAATTCGTCACCTCAAAGGTATTACATAATTAATTATACTAAATGTTTGATATATATATATATATATATATATATATATATATATATATATATATATATATATATATATATATATATATATATATATATATATATATATATGGAAACTTTTTGGGACCGTGATAATCATAGCCTTAAAGAATTGATTAGGAAGCTAAGTTTTAATGATTTTAGGTAAAACACGATTTATATTGATGATATAACTTTTGATTAGAATTATTTTTCTTATACCTCACATTGCACCACAAAATTCTCTACCTACATGAAGAAGGGAACTATATTTTTCTAGTAGTATCTCCATTGGTTTCCATCAATAAAAATAGATGAAAGCAAAGCCCAAGAACCAACTCATAAAGGATCATTTGGTGAACTTCTTATATGATCTAATGCGACTATTCCTAATAGTGAGCTTTGGTGTAATTCCTATTATATGTGATTTCATATAGAACACATTTTGATGTACTTCCTCTTGCCAATCTCCACCATTTGCCATGTGTCAAGTATCCCCAAACTCAAAGGATTAGTTTTATAACAATAGGATCTAAAGAGCTTACAACAAGACATAAAATAATCTAAATTTATGCATGTTGCATAATATTTTCATAACTGTTACCACTTTATTATAAACGGAAAAGAATGCTTAGTTGGAACCTTTTGATTTTTTACAATTGCATGATACTTTCATACTGTTATAATATATACGCTTTTTTTAGATTATCATGAAGATAAATAAGATTTTTTTTTAGGTAATCTTTATCTGTAACACGTTACAACAATCTTTAAAAAAAATGACAAACCTCATGTAACCTTTGGTCCGTTATCGAAAATTTCATTTAAATGCTTATATTATTATAAAAAAAATTCACTGATAATATACCACAATGTTGAATGAAACAAATAGTAGATTACAAACCTGGTCATATTTGAGGACACTCTTCAAAAACTCTCCCCTACAACTTTTCGCCATATATGTCAACTTCTTTAGGTTTAGGTTCAAGACGTAACGTCTCGTTAAAAGCAAGAACCTACATGAATAAAAATTAAATGAATAAATAAAGAACGAAATCAAATAATTTAATAGATTTATGGATAAAACTCACTTTGGTTGTCCTTTTGACAAAGGTGTCGTTGGATTATTATAATTGTTAATATGATTCATATCCACATTTTTTATGGGCATGGGCTCAAAAGTATTTGAGTTACTTTGTAGGTATGAACTGTTTTATGGCTCTAACATTACAGGTCACAAGTTGTTTAATTCATAGTCTATGCTAATGCTAATGCCAATGTCACACAAACTTGTGTAACTACAACTGTAAATGCGTAATTATGATTTATCAACATTGATTGGTTCTATTAGTTCTTGAGAATAAAAAAACATATAGAAAATGAATTAACACAAAATTTCTCTCATTTAATTAAAACGTCAACAACAACCATCATCAATAACTATGTGTTTATAAATCCAATGCTCACTTTGGTAAAATGTAATGATCAGCCTACTCGAATAGGTCATTCAATTATATTTCATTATTCAAAGTATATATTGTTTTTGTTTGTTACGCATAACTACTACACACCTAAGAAAATTGACAAATAGACCAAATAATTTAATAAGCAAACTATAATCAAATTAAGATGTATATCTGACTCTGAACTAACAGAAGTTATATACAAATATATCCAATGTTTGTTTCAAATATATCTTGTATATTTTTCACAATTAATCTAAGAGATTTTCATTTATCATCTTTTAAAAGTATGTATAATGGCGTAGTAAGAAAATTAACTAAATAACATATCATTATATCAAAAAATAAAACTTAAAAATAACAAAATCCAACTGAATTAAATTTTTGTTTTTTTATATAAAAAACAATGGTGTTATTAAACAAACTTTATTTATAATTCCATCATAATGCTTCATTACATTCCAGTTCTGATATCTTCCTACCAACACTACCTAAGCATGAATAGTTCATGATTGAAAGATTTAGATTACATATATTATTTGAACCAAGTCATGGGATAGATACTACACATGTTGATAGGACATTGTATTTATGGTAGACCTTTTGTGGTTCTGACATGGTTGACCTAACCATATACAATTATGCTGTTAAACAACATTTTGTTAATGGTAAATGCACTAACAAAATGGTCCTAAAACAAAAAAGAAATGAAGTACCTAAGATCTTTGCTATTGATCCCATACTTAAGAGTATCCAACTGCGCCTTTGATGCATTATTTCCAAAATTATAACTCCATATCTCTGAATTAGTAGTGATGACCATATGATAGAACAACTTTTGCACTTGCTTTGATCAGTGTAAGTCTTATTTCAGTATCAACCTTTTTACCGTAGTACCAACTTAAATTTGTATATCCCATTGCGTTCAAAATTTTTAATAAGAATAGAAACATATTTGTATATGTGCATCAACAATAGATTCCCGAAAGCGTTATTCAACTTACATGCAAGATGATGGAACAACCTAGCAGATAGAGCCTCCAATATCCTTCTAATCAGCAAAACAAGGTCAGAAGAGACATACACCCCTGCCAACAACTACTTATATATATATATATATATATATATATATATATATATATATATATATATATATATATATATATATATATATATATATATATAATGGTGGGAAAGTACCGTAAGTGTAACATCTTAAGTAACATAAGCGTAACTGGTGGAGTGAATACGAAGTTAAATTTAAGGAAAACTCGAAAAAAATTGGTTAATTGTTTTCATTTTTTAACTATTCAATCAAACTTACCCCGATGTAGTTTTCCCTCAAAGCCAACATGAAAACTGTGTTCATAAGTGGTTGACTGGCTACTTTTGAGTATTTATCTAAGAACAACAACTAAGAGGTTATCTAACTCATGTATTGCATATAAATTTTCAAAAAGAACCCTTGAAAAATGATTAAGCAAGTGAGACATACATGTTAACTAAGTACTCATTGGGAAAAATTTCTATGACTTTCTTTCAAGTTTCAGCATCAAGATTTACTCAACAACCAACTTTGCATGTATGTTCCTCTCTCATAAGAAACTGGTAAGAGATTTTGAAAAAGCAATGCCCTTACTTTGACTTACTCGAATCAAGTCAATGCGATGAAGAATTGATAGAGGTAGAATCGAAATTTGTCTCACCTGCTAAAGTTAAGTCGAAATGCATGAGGGTTAAAGGTGATGTTAATTTATAGAAAAAAATGACATATTAATTAAGTACATGACAAAACAACGATCATCACAAAGGGATCATCAGGTGACACTCCAACAATCTTCATTCATTTAAAAGATTCTAATGCTTGTTCTAAGTATCAATTATAGATGTAACCTATTATCAATGAGCCCAATTAGATAACTTCCCTCTTAGGCTTTTCATCAAACATCTTCTCTACAGCATCTATCTGGCCAACCTTTCTGAATAAATGTCTAAAATTACCCTCTTAAGTGAAGTTGCCCTCATAGTGATAAAGAATTCACATATGTACAAAAACCCATGTATTCTGAAAGATTAAAAAGTACACATAATCTTATACTTAATTAAAAGCACAAAATAATTCAAGAAAAGTATGTAAGAATTACTATCTTCAAATTACCTCAGCGGAAAAAGGAAAACTTCCTATAATTAAAGGTTGATATACAAGAACTTAGGGTTCACCAAATCAAATAGTAGGTATCTGTGTAAAAGAAGGAACTGAAGTTGGAATCGATATTTGGTAAGGAATTGGATCGCAATGAGTTGTTATGAGAGGGGAAACAAGAGTTATCAGCTGACCTGGATGATAACCATGGCGGATCGAAAGGGGAAGTTGTTCTCCTTCATTCTCATTGTGAGTACCTCTATTAAGCGTCGATGGAAGATAAGTAACAATGAAGACCATCATTTCAACAATATCAAATTAGAACAATCCAAATAAAGTCAGTTGTCCCTACAGGCAGCGGCGTAAACGGGGAACAATTTTTAAACTGTATATATATATATATATATATATATATATATATATATATATATATATATATATATATATATATATATATATATATATATTTGAGGCGTGGGGAGGAGAAATCAAGAACTGGCAAATGTAAGATGAAAAAACATTACCTTAATCTACTTTGAAAGAAGCATATCGCGGTGTATTCAAAGCTACCCACAAAACAGTTGCCCCGTTGAGAGAATTTCCACGTGTAACCACTGATGATTTAGATATTTGAGGCGGTAAAGGGAAGCAAGAGGTGGCAAGCAGCTTGGAAAGTTTTTGTGCAAACTTGGTATGAGGCGGTGTGAACAAAACGCCCAACATGAGGTCAAGATGACTGAGGGACGAAAGTTGGCAGGGAGCTTACCGCCGTATACGATAAAAGTCGCTGCCTACTGCCTTCTTATTGGAAGAGGGAAGAATGTTATCGACGTGGATTTTAGTTTAACTCTTTAACACATAGGTAATGAATATATATATATATATATATATATATATATATATATATATATATATATATATATATATATATATATATATATATATATATATATATATATATCCTTCTAATAAATTAATGTTTTTATTTGCTATTTTTCACATTCTCATTCAATTAGCCAATGTCATTTTGTGGTTAATTTGAATTAATTTTTTTCCACATGTCATTTTATGAGTTTTCTATTTTATTAAATTTCACATAATATTTTAATGTAATAATTACAACAAATGTAATAATAAATGGATATTAATTTCACTAATAAACCTATCTTTTAATTTCAAAATTCTCAAAATTAAAGCTTCATTAGTTTATTTTCGTTATTTAAACTATTTGTTTAAATTTAAAAGATAAAAAACATTTCCATTATAATAAATCATTAAAAATTTATTTTCTTATAAATTCAAAAATCTGAAATATTTTGACATTTATATTTAACATTTTTTTTAAATAACTCATGTAATAACATGAGTCTCATAACTAATATATATACACCAGTTTTGAGACTCATATATTACATGAGTTTATTTAAAAAAATAAACAAACATGAATATCTAACAATTTAGAAAATTTAAATTTATAAGAAAAAAATAAAATAATCGAGTTATGGTGAATATCGAAAGGATATTAAAATTGTAGTGTGAATAAACTGATGTTTGGAAAGTTTCTTCAAATAATCGTGAAATTGAAATGGATTGTTGAAAATTGTGTTTGAAAATTAAGAATTTTAATTTAATACATTCGTTGACTAATTACGGGAGAGTTTAAGAAGAGAGACAATTTTCTTTAAATTGCTTTAATTGCTTTAAAGCATATTCAAATTTATTATATTTTTTTATTTGTAAAAAAGCCAATCAAATCACAATTTACCAAATGAATTTAAATGAAATTGAAATTTTTAAAAAAAATATCATGTGTCATATTGAATAGATGATGCAATGCGACACAAAACCTTTATTTATTAGGGAGGATATATATATATATATATATATATATATATATATATATATATATATATATATATATATATATTCTATTATATTGACCATATTTAGTATTTCTTGAAAATTAAGAGGTACAATTAAAATGGCTTAATGTACAAACTTCTAATGCAATAGCATACTTTACCAAACCATACCTTAAATAAGGTATGTTTTTATTTTACTTAAATAACATACCTTAAATAAAATTTGTTACTTATGTAAGTTGTTGAGTAAGAGGGTATTATCAATGCAAACCCCAATATCTTCATTTCTTGGTGTATATCAATGAAAACTCCAATGGAGATCGACGCCACCAAATGCTCGCCACCCACTGTGGAGGTCGACGCCACCAAATGCCAGCCATCCACTCTTGAGATCGACGCCACCAAATGCGACTGGTTCTTCTTTACCCATTTATCGCTTTTATCTCTAGGGTTTTAAAAGAAGTGTTTGGATCTAGATGAACACGATCAGGAAAAATAGTTTCTGACACAAAATACTTTCTTGCTGTTTTTCTATTTATATTTTGGAGTTTGTTTGTTTTTATTACAAATATGGAGTGGGTTAACCTGTTATTTAACTACCAAGCGATTAAATTGATGAGCTACAACATTTCCTTTGTTTTATTGGCTTTTTATATAATCCTTTTCAAAATCATGTAATTCTTTAATTAATTTCCTGGTGTCTAATTGTTACAGGTCTTTCGGGGATTCAAAAGATCGAGGTTTACATAATATATGGATGTTTTTCTTTATCCAAGTTTCATTATTCTATTTTTTTTGGTTTGTATGAAATGTGAGTTTATGAGATGTTTTACATATAATCTTGATTGATGAATAATTTTTTTATGCATTCAAAGATTCAAAGAGAAGAGTTTCACATGGAATTTCGAAGATTACTCCCCAGCAAAAGCAAAAACAAGCCAAAGGTAAAATAGGTTTCGATTATTTATTTATTTATTTATTTATAATTTGGATTTTTTTTTTAATATGAATACTACTTGTACATGTCTGCTTATGGTCTTTGTAGTGGTGGTCTGTTCTTGTTTATTGTCTCACCAAGATGAGGTTTTTGTAGATTTGCACAACTTGGTTATGAAATGGATATGTAAGACTTGGTGACCTTACTAGGAATCTTTCTTATTGTCATAATTAGGTATGAAAATTTCAAAAACCTCAATATCACCATTTTCTGTTAACTAAAATCAACTCAACTTTGACTCATTCCATATTTTCCATTTTCGTGACTTGGTTCTCTTTAATTTGTTCTATGTTTAGTTGTTCCCCCAAATGAGAAATGACTTCATGCATCAGGTGAACCAAAATATCAGGGGATAAATCACCAAAACTTGAGCTTGTTGCAAACAAGTCCATAACACATGTATATTTTAAGTCATTCATGAAAAAAAAATGGATATAATCTAAATGTTATAGTATGTTGAAGCACTGATATTGTGCAGATGTTGATACATCAAGGATGTAAGGTCAAGCTCCATGAAAAACATAAATAAAACAAAAGTTCTGAATAATTTTTTTATGGTTGCAAGGAGATGAATAATTATGATTTTTCGAACAACAGTGGAAATAACCAGTTGATCTTCTCAAACTTATGGAGGGAGCCAATTAGCCTCCACCCAATGGGGTGCTAGCTATTTGAATAGTAAGAAAAGGCCATGCCTGGCTAAAATCAAAATCAGGGATATATGTCTGTTGTAGCTCCAGGAAACCAACAACAAGACATATCATCACGGACAGGAGTAGGTGTAGCTCAAATATCATCCCAAGGTGATCTTGGTTTTGCTT